GATGTGACAATAAAAGTGATTTGATTTGATTTGAGTTAAAGTAAATATAGAAAAATATAATATCACCTTGCTGGGAGTCTTGAGAGGGGAAATGGCAATCTTTTTGCCAGGGATACTTTGTAAATTAGTGTTGTGGGGCTCAGAGAGAGTAATGGTCCTCGGGGGCATCACTGGTGAACTCTGGGTCAGAACCCGTCCTATGAACAGACAGTGCACGATTTAATGACAAAGCTAATTACAACATAATTAGAAAACAAACAGCAATAAACTATGTGGTTTGATAATTATTTAAAAACTGAAACAACAAAATAGCCTCAAAAAGTTATTACTTAGACTTACCTGTGATCACAGGAGGCATTGATGTCTGGGCACTTATACCTTTGCTGTTAACAGTTTTTGTGATGATAAACTTGATCGGTGCAGCTGAGGATGCTGGTGTCTTCTTGGCAATCTGAAAAGACAATTAGCCAGAAATGTTTAAACGTATTCATTCAATATCCAAACATTGCCTCTTTCTGCAGATGACGACTACTGGTGTGTCCTAGCTTGGTCAGTTCTGTTGCATTTTCATTTACTGATACTGATGTTGATACCTGAGCTCTAGTTGTACAACTTAATTGATACTGGATTTATGAGGGTGATAACTGAATTTATATTCGTAGGGAAAAAGGTCATCAGTGATATTGTAAGATTACATACTGAGCTGGTCAATGTGCAGTATTAAGACAATTCTTTGTCAGTGCTCTGATATAGCAACTGTGAAATTATGACACTTTTTTTTCCCCAATGTACACACAATGTCAGCACTTCTGCAACATGACTTTATGCAGCCAGACAGGTCAGCTGAGGTATTCATTTCACGGCAACATCGGTGGCTTTTTAAAAAAAAAAAACATATTTAAATCTGAATATCTTACTGGGGGTAAATTATTGCAATCATTCTCCTACATGTAGGATAAAAAGAGGATATACATTTCCTTCTCTTCTGAACTATGATTTTAGACAAAAATATTATTTTTATGCTTGTTAAGATGATCTGACTTCAGTTCTTAAATAAATAGCGCACTAATAATGTTCATCTAAACCCTGAGTGTGAGTGTGCTTGTTTCCCTACAAATTTTTTAATTATTTAAGAGGATAAAAACTCCCAAACACACATGTCCGAGTGTATATGCTTGCTCTACCCCTTATACACAGAGTGAAACAGTCACTCGTAACAATTTTTAATCCAAATATGAGAACTGCTCATTTAAACAACGTCCAGACAGGCGAAGAACAGTTGAATGGGGAGATTTACCAATTTGTTTGTAACCTGTAATGTACTTTATGAGTCAGACAACTCCCACCCCCTGCCAAGAGGTTTTAACCAGATCCTAACAAAAAATACCCTGAAATGACAAATCTAAACACCAAGGAATCTTTACATTCCACATTCAAACTACATGGATGAACCTCTTAATCTTCACCAAAGTGGTTCTCTCTCTATGCTCCTTTTTTTTTTTTTTTTTTAAATCTTCTCTTCCCTTCATCTCCCAACCAGTCAAAGCCCATATTAGGCTTTCCATGAGCCTGGTTCTACCAGCAGGTTCTTTCTATTCAGAAAAAGACTTTCTACTTTACCATTGTCATGTGCTAAGTGATCATCATGTCATCAGGATTCTCTCACTAATGCTGTAGAAGCCTTTAACTTGCAATAGAAAGTCCCTTGAGGTGACTGGAATTGTATAAATAACATTTAATTGAGCTCTGTGCGTTATAGTTCCACACTAGATTCCTAGTGGTTCTAGTGGTTACTGAGACACAGTCCCACTCCATCTTCTCTGAAACACCAAACTGTACTTAGTCAGTACACTGTTGTTAGCTTACATTTACTGGCAGCCTAGATCAAGGTCAAAGCAGATCTTATCTAATAACTTGAAAAACTTTGTACACAGTATGTTCAATTGATATTGAGGCAATCATTTACAGTAGTAATTATGTTTAATTTAACAGTAACATGTGGAACATGACAAGCAATATTTTTGTAAAAATGTATTAATAATACAAAAGGTTATTGTTACCTGGACAGTCTTCAGCTGCTGGGTCTGTAATGTGGTCACCTGGTTGCCCACCACTGGCTTCAGGTCTGACCTCCCACCTATAGTCACCACTTTAAACTGCGGCGCTTGAGACTTGGTGTCTCCGGCAGTCTGTGAAATGCCAGGCTTGCTGCCTGTGTGGGGTAACTGAAGCACTATAGGCTGCCCCGATTTTCCTATAGCTGTAACCAAAAGTTTCTGTCCATCCTGCTTGATGACCTGGGGTGGATTACCTGCAGACTTTGCTGCTTCTGAGGCTTGAGAAGCCACCTTATTGAGAATAATCTGGCGATTTGCAGGAGAGATTGTAAATGGAGTTGTGAGCTTCTGTAATCCACTTGTAGTCACACTAGTTCCAGTAACACTGTCTGTGGTTTTGGTTGTGGTTGTCGAAGTAGCCAAGGCTGGTTTGATGGTAAGAAGAGGAGACGATGTGCTGGAATTTGAGACAGGAGGCGGACTTCTGGGGCTGGCACTAAGCATGGAGTCTGTGGCCGTGGAGGTGGTCATAGCCTTAGTGGGTTCAGTTAAAACGGCATCTGAACAGAGGCTCACGTTCTCTGAAGCCACGGGTGTATCAGTTTCCATTGGGACCGATGCATCATCACTGGGCTCTGAGTGGACTGCAGTGGTGCCAGGTTGAGAGTGAGGAACATCCTCTATATCCTCAGTATCCATGATCTCATCTGGGAGGAGGCTGTTGAGCTCTGGTGACACTACATCCATGCTTGCAAACTCTCAGCTTTCTGTTAATCCTGAAAAACCAATACAATTTAATTGTCATTGCAAAATACATCACAAACACTAGTAAGCCACAACATTAACACCACTGTCAGTTTAACTTATAATACAGGCACACATGTACAAACTCCAGCAGGTCAAATCTGTTTTTCTGGCTATTATATTAGGCAGGAGGGTTTTCTGTTGTATTTGATCACTTTTATATTATTTGAAAGACCTAGAAGCTTACATTTACTGCACTAGATACACCATGAACAGGGAGCGACAGACAAAGATAATACAATTTTAAAATTCTGAGGATATACATTCATCATTTTAGAGAGCTGTTGCATTTAATTGCAGTCAGTGTTTGCAATTCATTTAAAAAATGTATTCCTCTACTCATTTATACAATATACATAACTGGATTATAATACAGACAGACAGCTAAAAGCTGTGCTGAGAATATAGAGCAAGATAGTTCAAGCTAGCGAGCTAGCCATGTAGGTGCAGTAGAAGTGCCAGATTGTCATAACTTTACCTGTAAATGACTTCAGTAATTACGTGAGATGTAATAAATAAGGAGGTGGGAATGAGTAACGTTTGACTTGTGCTGATTTTGACTGAAGCAGACAGCTGATGCTAGGCCGCAACGATCATCTCTGCCGTATCTTTGTCCTGCTGCACTCTACTCAACATTAATCCACCGAAACGCACATATGAACCCTACCCACTCCATACCACATTCACACGCAGAGCTGACTGAGCTGAATCTCTTCACGTCCCCAGGTGAAAGCCATCAAAAGAAAACTGTGCTGAGTTGCACTAGTTTATTTTAAAATTGCCCAGAAGTGGTCCTGACTGGGGCAAAGAGCGAGAAAAAAAAGCGACAAGCTGTTTTGCTGGCTGCGTTACTATTTCAGGCCGGGGTTGGATTTCGAAAGATCCGCCATTTTTACCTCGTCATCAGCTTAGTTAGCTGCCCGGCTAACGCTAAGCTATGCTGAGGGGAAGCGTTTATAAATATTGGTAACAAGCAGAGACACTTACACTGACAGTTCACTGCAAAACAAGCATAACTAAACAGTCAAGATAAGACTTGATGTTAACAGGGTGCTGCTAGCGAGTAAAAAAAAAAAACCCCCACAAATAACAACAACAAAACTCTGCAGAGTCTGACAACGTAAACAATGCTTGCTTTCAATAATTTCTCCTGTCACTTGACATAGGAGGAAATACAACATTTTAATTCCACAATGCAATTATTGCGATTGCTATTAGAGATCGCCTTAACAGCAACAACAGTCTGTGTTTTAGGGCTGGAGTTAGCGTGGCCTAACCAGTTCAAAATGATGTTTTAGTTTAACCTCAAGAAAGTCATATTTTGACTGAGTTATAGTACCAGAAAAGCGTAAATTCCAAGAATGTTACGGGGTCAACAGCTAAAGTAATATGAAACCAACTAACAGCAAATGCAACTGCTGACTTGTGCCTTCTAATATTTTACATACATATAAAAATATCTATGATCCTTTAGACGTTTCGCCAGTATGTCAAAACAACTCGATGTGCAGCTAACTTAGCTTTTACTTTTCATTTGCCGTTGCAGTAAGTAAACTTAGCGGCCGGCTCACATGATATTTACACCATGTTATTAAAGTCCCTGTTTTGTGCACGAGAAACTTTCCTTCAGCGCTGAAAATACTCTGCCAAACCAAATCCTGGGAATATTATGCTGCTTTTTCACCAGAGTCTATCCTTAAATATCGTTATCATCAAAGACAGCAACAGCAGTCTCATCTAGACAGCCCAGCGGGCAGAACAACTGTACTAGCAAACTTGCAGAGCTTGCTAACCCGAGCTAGCTAGCACAACATTATATCTCAACATTGAATACATTCTTTAATGTGAGTCTTTATGGTGAATATGGTGTGTTAAATCCTAGAAAGGGCCATTGCATAGTCATGCTTACCCCAATTTTTTAAGCTAAGCAGCGTTTCCAGATAAAAGGGAGGAAAGGAAAAGACGATTGTTCAAAATACCGCGCCGAGCGCCATTCCTCCCTGACATTTCACAGGCCGGCCACGCCCTCCATGCGATACGAAACACTGACGTAACACTTAAAGCTACAGCACAATTGCATTATCAAAGTTATGACTGTTTCTACAAAACTATTTAATGCATTTTTTTTTCTTCTTCTTTTTTTTTACAAAATATTTTTTTGAAAATAAAAACTATTGTTAGTTAATAAAAAACAAACAACACAGTCAGCCTTGGAGCTCGTGTGCTGAATATTTACCGAAATCTGACAGAGCACTACCCAGTAGTCTCACTAAGTGCCCAGTCTCACGTACCACTGTCAGGTAGTCAGTAAATAATAAGATGGTGGACATGTTTACTTACATGTCCTGTAGTTTCTCTTACTATAAGAGTGGTAAAACACATGAAATGCACTTCAGAAAAACAGACAAGATAGACTTCAACCTGCAGTTTTTACTGCCAAGATGGGAGTAAAATGTCTTCACCAGGGAGAGTACTGCATGATTCCCTCCCAGATTTGAGCTGCTTGCATACTACAGAGTGTCAAGAGATGTTTTCGCCTAAGGTCTTAGGTAGGCCAGCGTAGTCTCTCCAGTACATTCATCATAAGTGACATGAGGTCCAATTGATAGTCATTGAGCTCTTATGGTGCTAACTTTTTCTTGTACAAAAGTCGATACATCAGACATTTCTTTATGTATTTTGCATATACTTATATACTTTTTGACTGATGTTGAATATAGATATTTCGTTTTTAACTGATACCACTTGTATATAACTTGACCTCTGGTGTTGTATCTATTTTATTACTATTACTATTATTCAACATTATTTAGTTAGGCTATACATTTTAGTTATATTTTACTTAAACTTTACACATACTTTTGACTGGTTTGATAAAAATGTCAGCTCAATTCAATTTTATTTACATAGCATTTAAAAAGTCATAAAAAGAAAACCCAGACAGTCAAATTAATCCCTAAGAACAAACACTTGGAAACAGTGGAAAGGAAAAACTCCTTTTTAACAGGAAGAACGTGCCAGAGGGTACAGGGGCAGCCATCTACTACAACTGGTTTGGAGTGTGTTGAAAGAGAAGAGAGCAGAGAGAGAGACAAGGCAAAAGGCATGCTGTGGAAGTCCACCAGAGATTGGCTGTAACTAATGATTATATGTAAAGTGGTGTATAAATGCACAGAAAGTAAGAAAAAGTAAGTGATGAAGAAATGCTATTCATAAAAGTAGAGAGGGTGTCTGTCTCCTGAATGCAATCTGGTAGCTGGTTTCTCAGAAGAGGGGCCTGAAAGCTGAAGGCTCTGCTTTCCATTTTACTTATAAATGCTCTAGGAAACACAAGTAAGCCAGCAACTCGTGCGAGAAATTCTTTGTTAGGGTGATATGGTATTATGAGGTCTTTAAGATAAGATAGGGCCTGATTATTCAAGACCTTGTATGTGAGGTGTAGAATTTAAATGGGATTCTGTATTTTAACAGGGAGCCAGTGAAGGAGAAAAGGCCTTTCTAGTCCCCGTCAGTACTGTTACTGTAGCATTCTGTATCAATTGAAGGCTTTTCGGGGAGCTTTTAGAACAACCTGATAATAATGCTTTACAACAGCCCAGCCTAGATGCATTAAATACAGAATCTAGTTGTTCAGCATGTCTGTGAGACAGGATATTTTATTGCGCAAAAACAAGAAAGCCCTTCATATTTCAGATGATACTAGTGTTAACAATAGATTGACCCTTTTTTAGGTTAATTACAAAATTAGCAGAAAAAAATGCAACCAAATATAGTTATGATTGTTTTCAGGAAAGGGATGGATAGTTTATAATACTCACCAAGTTTTGTTTAAAAACATATATTAATACATAAAATTAAAACAATAAACAAGCAATACAATAGTTCAACATTTAAGCCTGGCCTAAAATAATTATAATCATTCTTTTCCCTCTTCCGCTCCCATCGCTGGCTGCGTCACTTCCTGGCCGAGCTCTGCGCTCTGACTGCAGACGGAAGGCTCTCCCCTGTCTCGGCAGAGGAAACCGGTGTTGACACTTCGACGCAGGCTACAATGGCGACCGAAGTGAGGCAGGAGCTTACACAACTGATGAACTCAAGTGGATCTCATAAAGATCTTGCTGCCAAGTATGTAACGTTAGTTACGGAGAACATCACTCGTTAAAAACCGCAACAGAAACTGCTAGCTAGCAGCTGGTCTGCACAAAGCTAAGCTAATGTTAGCTGCATTAGCCATACATTCAGATAGAAATGCAATCAGTCTGTCAATGTTTGCTTTTAGGTTTTATCCAAAGTGCAAGGAACATAAAAGGAGTGACTACCCACATTAATTGTTGGTAAAATAATTATGAGAACTGTATATTTTATCACCAAAGCTAACTAGCTAACTTGCTGCTCTTTAGCTACATATTTGGTGCAGAGCACAACATAGCTTTAATACAGTTTGAACAAAGTGATACTTGACTAGAAAACTGCCAGGACATCCTTTGCGTACGTTCTTACCATCCTATAAACAACCATTTTATTAGGAACACCTGTGCATTTTATTAAGTACAACTGTACTGTAAAGTCTACTTTTGCAATTTCAGTTTTCGTCAGCATTGTCCAAAAGGTGATAAATCTATTTAAAAATCTTTTAGGTCCTGTTATATACGTGTTTGTATAAGAAGAAATTGTTTACTGTATCCACAGTATATGCTGATGGTTAATTAAAGTGAAAATATTTAAATAGCTGTTTAATAAAGGGAGGTTTAATTCACTCAAGCTTAAATACACTTGTTTTTCACAGAAGTCACAATCAAATGCATCAACTTCTCTTAAGTAAGGGACCACAGACTGATTGCTGTAATTATATGTGAACTGGTGTGTGCATAGTTCTGTTATGTTCACAGCACTTTAGTGACATGTTTGATTACAGATTTATTTATGAAATGATATTTACTGAATGGATTGGGTACTTTTCCCTCAATTTTGGTACTTTTTTTGGTACTCATTTAGATGTGCTTTAACAATAAATAATTGATGAATATAAATATTATTGGCTGCTTCATCAGTGAGTCTCTTATACTGCAAATGACATTTAGTTACGTCATCCTGGAGATTATTTGGGTGTCAGCAGGGTTAGGGGTTAGGGTTAGGGTTAGCCCTTGTTCTGCTCTGTAGCCTTAGTGAGCTCATTGTAGCATCACATGGGCAGCCATTAATATACCTTGCCCAAGTAAAGTTAATCTGTGGGAAAACACTGGGTTTCATCCAATAAGATAAAATGTATTTGTGTTTCATATTTAAGTTTTAATCCTTCGGTTTTCTATGTAAACATTTTAAACTTACCAGCAAAGTTGGAAGGTTTCTGACCGGTGAAATCTTTTGCAGATATCGACAAATTCTGGAAAAGGCCATTCAGTTTACAGATGCTGATCAACTGGAATCCTTGAAGGCCTTTGTAGAAGCAAGTATGGTGTGCCTGTATTCTTCTGTAATATCTGCTTATTCTACGTCCTTGGTTCATTTTTCAGGAGCATGTCTTACTATTATATTTTACATTCTTGCAGTGGTCAATGAAAATGTTAGTCTCGTCATTTCAAGACAGCTGCTCACTGATTTCTGCACACATCTGCCCAACCTGCCTGACGCCACAGCAAAAGCAGTGTATCACTTCACCTTGGAAAAGATCCAGCCGAGGGTCATTTCCTTCGAGGAACAGGTAAATTTGCTCCAGCTCTCTGACGCAGTGTAAATGGAGGTAACCATTCAGGCAGTTAAGCTTGAGTATTGTCACTGCAGCGCTTAACTGAGTAATGTTCCTCCATCACCTTAGGTAGCCTCAATCAGACAGCACTTAGCAACCATTTATGAAAAGGAGGGAGACTGGAGAAATGCTGCCCAAGTTTTAGTTGGCATTCCCCTCGAAACAGGACAGAAGTAAGTAAACCATTGTCACACGCAAGTCTTGATGGTAATTGTGTCTTTAAATCCCTGTTTCTTTTGTTTGTTTTTTAAAATATCCCCTTCAGGCAATATAATGTTGACTATAAGTTGGATACATATCTGAAAATTGCCCGACTTTACTTAGAAGATGATGATCCGGTTCAGGCAGAGGCCTACATCAACAGAGCCTCATTGCTTCAGAATGAGTCCTCTAATGAACAGCTACAGATACACTATAAGGTACATGATCTCTTAGTGATTTCATAGTTACATAGTCTTATCTGTTGTTTCAGTGAAGCTGTGTGGATAAGTGCTTATGCTGCTCTCATTAGGTGTGCTATGCCAGAGTACTAGACTTCAGAAGGAAGTTTATTGAAGCTGCACAAAGATACAACGAGCTGTCTTATAAGTCAATTGTTCATGAAAGTGAACGCCTGGAGGCACTGAAGCATGCTCTGAACTGCACCATATTGGCCTCTGCAGGTATAAGCAGGTGTTACATTTTCAGAAATAATGTAATGAGAACTAATGGAAAACATATAAAGGCATACTACTGATTTGCGGTTTTCACACTCTTAACCAAAAATGGTGCAATTTTTTTTAGGACAGCAACGTTCCCGTATGTTGGCTACTCTCTTTAAGGATGAGCGCTGTCAGCAGCTGGCTGCTTATGGTATCCTGGAGAAGATGTACCTGGACCGCATCATTAGAGGTAACCAACTGCAGGAGTTTGCTGCCATGCTGATGCCTCACCAGAAAGCCACCACAGCAGATGGTAAGCTGAGATACTGGGTTTTACACAGTGAGAGAAATCCTTATTTTCTCCACCCTCATTGAATCAGCTGGTGAACCAGCTGATATTCTTTCTGGTTTTGTGCTCCCTTCATACTGTGAAACATATTTCTAGACACACTCTTAACTGCAGCTATAATGTCAATGCTATAGTTGACTTGGTCATTGCTCATGATAACTGAGGTCAGCACAGGGCTGTAACCATTTATGCTGGTGCTTGAGGGGCACTCTACACTTAGGTGTTGCAACACAACCCCTATACTTTCTTAACTTTGATCTGTTTCAGGCTCCAGCATCCTTGACAGAGCTGTGATTGAACACAACCTCCTATCTGCCAGTAAACTCTACAACAACATCACTTTTGAAGAGCTAGGAGCATTGCTGGAAATCCCCCCTGCAAAGGTTAGATATGAATTGGATTAATGCTAAACTTGTATAAGAGCCACAGTTTTAGTTTTATGCTTCATTGGGAAGTTATAGAACTTATTACTGTTGATAATAAGTTCCTGTTTTCCATAGTGGTACACACAAACTCTAGTTTCTGCTTTGTATCTGTAGGCTGAAAAGATTGCTTCTCAGATGATCACTGAGGGACGCATGAATGGTTTCATTGACCAGATTGATGGCATTGTACATTTTGAAAGTAAGTGATGAAATTGTTTATTTGTATGTTTTACAAATTTTATATAGGTTTATATAGGTATAAGGATTTGACCATGAGATTTTTAGGAACCAAAACATTTGATAAAAGTAATTTAAAGTTTAAATGTATAATTATTTATATATTAACTCATTGTTTATTCATTGTAAATAAAAAATTACAGATTAGCAGGTTTTATAAACAGAAGATATGGATAAAATTGCTGTAAAATTATTCCAGAACAATTTGTGTCAGTCTGTGTGTTTTTTACAAGCTAATCCTTAGCCACAGTAGAGCAGGCTTTCATGTAATACCAATATCTACCTCAGGATGGTATGGTGAGTCAATGTACTGCCCAACATCAGAGGAAGAAGTGGAAGCAATCAGTTTGTTGTTTTTTGTTTTGTTTTTTTTGCTATGTGCCAACTGTCTAACATTGCTTATTGTGGAGAGCTGTGGCCGGAAAAGGTGTTGCTGTGGCAGGAGGATGGTGCACTTAATTAATGTAGCACTAGCTACATTAATCCCTGTGACATTATTTTGCAGCATTTACAGAATAAGAACACTGGTTTAGGTCGCTGCCCCACAGCTCTGTGCAGACACAATGGGTTAGAGAGAAAGAGATTCTAACTCTAGCCAAAATGAACTGAATCACTGTTATCTGTATTCACAAAACAATAAATGACTTGGATATAATAAATTGCGTACATAAGTGGACAGAAATTAGTGTACGTTTTAAGTAAAAGTAAGTAAAACACTTTTAAGTATGTTTCTGGTGAATTAATTACTACTTATTTAAACAGGAGGAATAAAACACAGACTAGTTGGCTAGTCTAAATCTAAGGGCACACAGTGGGAGTGGTTAAAATTGAGCTCACTAACATTAAATACACAGACACATTTTAAGAACAAGGATAATGTGCAGAGGTGTAGCAACCATAGAGACATAAAGTTAAAGAGCCATATCATGAAGCTATGGGAAAGAATTTTTGAAGCAAGGTTAAGGAGTGGGGTGACGATCAGTGAGCAGCAGTATTGCTTCATGTTCAGAAATGGCATTATAGAAGCTTTGACAGTGTTGATTGAGAAGTATAGAGAACGAGTTGCACTGTATTTGTGTGGCTCTAGTGACGGGATTCAAGGGAGGAACAGTGGTATAAGGAACTCAGGAGTGGCAGAGCAGTACATGAGGGTGATGCTAGACATGTGTGGGGACAGCGAGACAGTGGTGAGGTAGTAGGAGTGGGAGTTACAGATGGGTTCAGATAGTGAAGATGGATGAGTTTAAATACCTTGGGTCAATTATTCAGAGCAATGGACAGTGCCGAAGAGAGTGTAGGCTGATGGTTGTGAGAAATGAATATTTACAAGATGGTAGTGAGACACTGTCATGATATGTTGGAATAGCAGTTTAACGGCAGCTGAGAGGAAGAGGTTGGATGAGGTTGGTGGGAGACAGAAGGACTCTGGCCAAAATAACGTCTCTGATGGAGTCTCCCACCCCATGCATGTAAGTGTTGCTGAACTGCAGAGCTCCTTCAGTGGCAGACTGCTGGATCCTAGATGGATGAAGGAGCGTTTCCGCAGGTCCTTCCTCCCTGCAGCTGTCAGACTGTACAATCAAAACTGCTCCCAACAAACATAGAGGTTTACATCAGCGCTGTTATTTGCACTAATCGACTAAACAACTGTTATAACTTGCACATTACTTTTCTCAGTTTATATATAAAAAAAACCTATAATCTTAATAACTGTACAGTACTCTGTTTTTGTAACTATTGTCCATCATGTAAATATTTTTTTCTGTAAAAATTGTGTGTGTTTCTGTTCTGTGTCCTGTTCGGTTTGAATATGTGCTTTTATTCTGCTGCTTTTACAACCAAATTTCCCCTTTTTGGACAATTAAAGGATTATTCTATTCTATGCTAATCTATTATATTCTCTGTAGGGGTTTGTGACAGTGGAACTAACAAAAAGATAGTTGGCCTGTGGCCAAAGGGGAACACGCATTGTGGTTTTCACCATGGTTCACATGCAAATAGTCTTTGTTTTGACAGGAAAATGCACCTTCTAATTTTTTTCTTCTGTCTCTGGCAGCCCGTGAACCCCTTCCTACCTGGGATAAACAGATCCAGTCTTTATGTTTCCAAGTCAACAACCTGCTAGAGAAGATCCGTCAGGCTGCTCCAGAGTGGGCCGCACAGGCTATGGAAACCCAGATGACCCAGTAGTATTCCTAATAGGATCCGTCAGCCCACCCTGAAAGTTTTGTTTGTTCCCAAAACATTAAAAAACACCTGCAGTTTAAGTAGTAAAAGCACTGTGGAGATCCTTCTGGTACCAGCATGACTTGTTTGAGATGTGGCATCCATGTATTTATAGGGCTGTACTGTACATTCAGGTGTAATTTCATGTTGTTTACATGTTAAAATTTTGGATATTATATTCAGGTTGTTGACATGTTATAGGGTCAAAAATAAGATGCGCACAACAAACGCATTCTGTTTTTATCTTGATAATACAGCTATATCTGTCAAGTACTTCTTGATTTATCACTTGGCCCACACTGAATGAATTTCAGCAGAGTATAAACTTGGAGCTGAAAGAAACTGCTCAGGATCATCGTTTGATTCAAGGTTGCTGTCTGCCTCAGTTTTT